AGTATGATATAAAGTAAAAATTGGTTTTAACTTTATGTCAAATACGTTGAGATAGAGGTGTAAAATGGGTTGTGTCGGGTCGGCATGGCACAGCCCGCGGGCAGCTGGCAGTCCATATTGGGTCGTGCCACCCTCCCCTAGGATAACTTGGGGGGTCGGCCCAGCATGGCCCACCAGGCCAAAGCTATTTTTGCCTATTTATTTAAAAAATTGAAATATGAATTTTGATGTATACAATTTCTTATATATACAATAATTAAATAAATTAGTATAATAAAATTGAAAATAATTGCTTATTTTATTAATGTATTATTATATAATTATAATTTATATAATATTTTATATTTTATATATAAATAATATATATCAGTCGTGCCGACATGCGGGTTGCGGAAGGCATGGCCCGCTTGGTCATGTCGTGCCAGTCCAGCCCGTAGACCCAAAACCCCAAGCCCAACACGACACGAACCATCTGGCTAGGCCTAGCATGATACGCGCACCATTGTGTCATGTCGTGTCTTGCCAAGCCGGTCCAAACTTGGCCCGATTTACACCTCTACATTGAGAAAAAATGGCAAATTAGAGAATTTAATGTAAGCATAAGAAATATTCTCTAAAATTGTAATATGTAATGCTTTATTATATATTAATTCTCTAAAATTAGAGCACTCACCAAAAATAAAAAGGTCGAGTAAATTACTAGTTTTTGCATAAATTATTTATTTTATGATATAATTAGCATAGAAGAATTTTAATGCCTACGGTATATTTGTCTTGTCGTTTTTGTTTATTAACTATTATAGTTCTGACAAAAAAAGACATAATTGCAAATACAGCGAAGGAGAAAGAAGATGAATTTAATGAGAGATAAACCCTCTTTATAATTTAAAGTCGGAATCGGAAAGAAAAACGTAAACGACAAAAAATTGGAGAGAAAGGCGCTAAGACAGGTTTTCCTTTTTTATTGGAGAGAAAGGCGCTGGGACAGGTTTTCCTTTTTTCTTGTTTTTTTACTTTTAATTATTTTGATACAAATAATAAAATAATAGGTAATTCCTAAATGGCAGAAAAACGTTAAATGGAAGGAGCATTAACTGGGATAGGTATCACACAGTTATTAGGTGCTCACTCATAGTGCTTACTTAATGTGCCTACTACATCCAGTTTGTAGTTGAGCTGGCCCTGGGTGCCACGTGTCACCTTCGCGACAGCCTTATCACTTCGGCTACGTTGGCATCACGTCATCGGACAAGTGCGACTAAGATAGGAGAGCATCGTACAGATAAGAAGGATAGCTCCACTGGGGATTAGGTCTTATCCTGAAGACCTCGGTGGACAACCTCATACCAACAACCCCAGAAGCCTCATCTGAATCGGACACGAATCTTCGGGTATAAGTAGGTAATCCCTCTTCAAGGTAAGGGACTTTTTGACTTTCTAGCATCCGTACTATTACTTTGCTCAAACCAGCATTGCTCTCTCAACTACTTAGCCCGATCACCCATTCTCCTCACAGACTTGAGCATCGGAATACCTACTCGGGAAATAACTCATTGAGCCTCTGATTCTGGTCTTAATTTCAGATCTTCCTACACAACTTCATCCTTCCACCTCGGCTTCGTCCAGTTGATAAGATTATTTTACTGCAACCTCGGAATCGAATAACATCAATTGACATGACAGATCTTTTTGCCTTAACTTGATTCCTCTCTGCATCCCTGCTTATCTCATTAATATCTATTTCTGTGGCCACGAAAAATAAAACTGAAAAAGAATTGTTGATCCGGGCAATAATATCTCTCCATCTGCACTCTATTATTCTTAGAAAGGGACACTTCAGAATTTTTATCTCCCGTTGGAGGCTACCTCCATTCCACCTGATTTCTACAGGTTGTGGGACCAATGATAAACCACAGTAGTAAGAGGTTGAATGGTTGTAGACCTCATGTATTTTATTACTGATGTGGAGTGTTATAATTGGTTTCATAACCAACGAGCAGCTATTGCATCCAGCTAATCTTATCTCGTTGCCAGCCAATTGTTGGAGGCTTTATCATCTCTTCCAATTCGGTCAGACACTGCAACCAAGTTGCCCGTACTCCTAATTATCTTTTTTATTATCTTTGCATGGACAGGTCATCCCTATTGGACAATGTAAATCTAGATATTAATGTTGAATGAAATGGGCTTTGGACCTTAATCAAGAATAAAAAGGGGGATAAAAAGAAAAGGAACTGTTGTTGGGGAAATACAAAATTGCAAGGAAAATAGAAATCATCTCAATAGATTCAATGAAGTTGCACAAAATGGACACATGACAACCAAGTTCCTTCCAATCATTTTAATTTTCCAATTGAACATGATGAACGAGATATTTGGAAACTAAGTTCCACTCCCCATTCTTTCAATTTCCTTCTTAGGATATGATGAAACTGGACTCCTGAAACCAAGTTCCACCTGATTGTTTTTATTATCAATTTGACTGCTTTTTAGTTATTTATCAGGAATTTAGACCATCCAATCAAACCATGTGAAACAACATGGTTCATCATATTTGTTGAGAGTTGAGACCAGTAGAGGCAAGGCATCTATGTGAAACCTAGGCATTTTGACCTGTCTAGAAAAGCTGTTGCTTGGGGGCGGTGAGTGGTGACCAGTGCGTAGCCATTAAATTCACAAGTAGAATAGATTTCTAAAATTTCGGACATGAAGCAAATAAAATATTAACGACAGAAACAAGTATCAAAGCTGCTTCTAATAATTCGAAATATTTGTATTCATTTGTATTTGAAGTATCATCAAGTACAAGTGTGAAGATGTACAGTGAATCACTTTACAAAAAAGGACAGGCTACAAAGAGAATTTTGCCTGCACAGCTAGCCAAGAGATAACAACAATTCAGAATTAAATAAGTCTTGGAGAGGAATGCCATTGAACTGTTCTTGAATCGCCATTCATGATAACACTGTCCCCATCACCCTTGTAATTCGGAATTCAAAAGTCTTGATAATTATTTAATCAAAAAAAAGAGTTGTGTGCTCAAAGCATATAAGTAGTAAACGTGACTAGCTGAATCAACTACCCAGGTAAAGATTTAACTAACATAAATATGGCTAAATTAACATGTTCAGGGACAGGATGGAGGGAAGTAGGATTAATGGTATTTAACAGAAACCATTTGAGGATGAATAGAATAATAGCTCATTTAAAAATCAAGGTTAAAAGAAATGTAAAATGCCTAGATTCATGATGGAATAAAAACCCATTCCACTAGAGTCTAAAATAACAAATGCAAATTGCGAGTTAATTAAGAGCTCTAAAGAAATTTTATACAAAATTGGTCTGCTAGTCCTTAATGTCAGTTTTCCCCAAAATTACACTAACATTTTTAGGACTGGGACACTGGTGTCTGAGTGATATTATCCATTCCAGAAGTCTAAAACAAGTATACCTACAATTCAAGAATAAATCCTTGAGAAGTTGAAAAATGTTTGGTACTTGGCTCAAGTGTCAGCTAAGTTACAAACATTTCAAAAGCATCTCCAAATCAGAAAACATCTGGGGAAGTTCGTATTATATGGATGTTTAGTTTTTGACCAAGATTTCAGAAATGGTCAAACAGCATCCTGTCTGGTATTTGGAACAGCTATACCAACTGCACTCACAAGGAGGAGCTCAGTTCATATAACTAAAGGACATCAAGGCAGAAAAGGACAAAAAAAAGAGAAACATCTTAAGTACATCAACATCAATAAAACAATAAATTAAAAAATGAGGGGATTATTCAAACAAATGAGCACCAAGCTGCTAATTGATCAAAACATGAAGCTATCATTCACCAAAACATATGCATTTAAGCTGATAGAAAGCTTTGGGGGAGGAAATCTTTCCCAGCGAGCTTGTATATCATCAAAGATACCATTAACAAATGCTTGAAGTCCAAGCATAAAAGGGATAAAAAGAAGGATACATAACCCAA